ACCTGTGTCTGCAGCTGGGGGTTTATTTCTAAGATCTTCTTATAACACTCTCTAGACTGGAAAGAGAAACAAGACCTGGATGAGCCGCTGTGGGGTAAGATAATTACCAGACCGACACCGGGCACCCAGGGCTTGGCTTGCTCATTATTTCCTCCGGCCTCCTCCAGCTCCAGCGCAGGAGGCAGGCGTGGAGAGCATAGCACACCCTCGTGGGTTTGTTCGGGCCTCTCTGGTCTGCGAGGCAAATTCTAAATTCATTTGAAAAAGTAAGTGTTATCAGATACAGCCTTGATGAAAACATCCAGTCCTAAATGTTTGTGGGTCATGTCTATGTAGGATAGGAATAACCATGAGGTAAATGCAAAACTCAGCTATGATATCTGCAGCAAGGGGGAGCTGGAGGCTGCCTGTCAGATATGCCCACAGGGAGCTCGGAACAAATAAAACCAGACAGTGTGGGCAGAGAATCGGGAATAGGAGCTAGACGTAAAGGCTGCAAGAGAGTCAGGAAGGGGTGTGCACTGGCCGTGGGAGTACCAGGGAAGGGGTGTGCGCACTGGCCGTGGGAGTACCAGGGAAGGGGAGTGCGCACTGGCCTTGGAAGTACCGGCAGTGCACTGACCGTGGGAGTACCAGGGAAGGGGTGCGTGCACTGACCGTGGGAGTACCAGGGAAGGGGTGCGTGCACTGGCCGTGGGAGTACCAGGGAAGGGGTGCGTGCACTGACCGTGGGAGTACCAGGGAAGGGGTGCGTGCACTGGCCGTGGGAGTACCAGGGAAGGGGTGCGTGCACTGGCCGTGGGAGTACCAGGGAAGGGGTGCGTGCACTGGCTGTGGGAGTACCAGGGAAGGGGTGCGCGCTGGCCGTGGGAGCACCAGGGAAGGGGTGCGTGCACTGGCCGTGGGAGTACCAGGGAAGGGGTGCGCGCACTGGCCATGGAAGTACAGGCAGGAAACCTGAAAGTGAGAGGCTCTCAATGAGGAAATTTTTAGCTAGAAAATTTGCAGAAAAGGAAAGGTTCTAGATCCTGGGGGTTTCTGGGTTAGGGAAGTAGTGCTCACAGGGGTAAGGTGCCATGGCCCTTAGGGCAGCTGGATCCCACATGACTGATGCGCAGTCTTAAGTCCCAGATCCACCAACTTGCAAAATAAACCAGGTGTGTATGCATGTGTACCCAAACTCCGACAGGAGGAGAGACGGAGAAGTGATTTTGGAGACTCTGTGCCCCGTAGGGGTGCTTTCTCAAGTTCCCTCTCTCGGGTAAGTGCACATACTCTCCAGTAAATCAAACACGAAAACAAAAAAACTGCCCAGAGAATAACCCAACCATCCATAGAGAGAAAAAGTTCAGAAAAACAAGTTCCGAGATACCTTGAAGCATCAAGCCTCACCTAGAAGATGAGGATTAAGAAATAAACTAAAGAGGGCCAGCAGGTGGCGCAGTGATTAAGGCACCGGAGTCCCACATGGTCCCGAACTTGGCGACTTGAAACGCATCAGGTGCAGTGTGCATGGGTGCCCAAAATCCTGCCAGGAGAATGGAGGAGAAGGGATTGTGGCATGGCCATCCCATTGGGGGATGATTTTTCACTTTCTCTCTCTCTCTCGAGAACACATATGCCCTATGTAAAAATCTCTTAAAAAAAAGAAAATAAAGAAACTGAAGGGGAAAAAAATATCACATGAAAACAGTGTCGTAGACTTGAAGTATATACACCAAACAGGCACCCTGTATCCAACTTCTCTTCAAGCCCAGATCTGTCTGATCTATCAGAGATTTCTGTTGGAAATATCTGGTAAATTCTGGTAAATATCCAGAATCCTGTGACTTCTCACTACTTCCACCATCACCAAGTTGGTCCAAGCCACCATCATCATTAAATTATCCTCTCATTTGGATAATGTATTGCAAGAGTCTTCTAACGGGTTCTCCGTTCTTACCTTGCCGTGCCAAGACATATTCTCAGTGTAACAGTCAGAGTGGTCCTTTAGAATATAAGTCAGATCGTGTCACTCCTTTGTCCACGACACCCAACAGTTCTCAGATCACTCAAAATAAAAGTCCAGGTCTTCTGAAAAACCTGGACAGCTCAGTGGAATCAGCCCCTTCCTCACCCGCTTCGCCTCTCTGCCCGCCGGCTTCATCGCAGCTCTCCCTCTACCTGGAACACCCCTCTTACACGTCCGCAAAGTCTGTTCACTTCTTTCCCTCCCTCCCTCCGGCGAGGCCCTCCCTGACTACTCGTATAAGACCAGCCTGGCCTGCACTGCTTCAGTTTGTTTCCCTTGGGAGCACTTCTCACCACCCGGCCTATGAAAGTGCTGCACATCTACCCACATCTATTTATCTGGCTTCTGTTTCTTGGCCACTCTACCCCTACAAGAATGTGAGTTCCACGAAGAGAAAGAGTTTGTCTCGTTCATTGCTACTTTTTTTTTTTTTTTTAACTTTGCCAGGGAGCATGTGCATTAACCAAAGAGAGGGAGAGAGAACGCTTTTAAAATGCACAATAAGAAAATTTCATTGAAAAATATACTATCTTCTAAGTGGAAAGACAGTCCATATTCATGGACCACAAGACGTAATGCTATTCCGACAGCCACCTTCCCCGAAAGATCGACAAACACAAGTTCTAACCGGCAACATTCCCTCTGACTTCATTGCAGAAACTGGCAAGATGATCCTGAAATTTACAGGAAAATTACAGAGAGCTAGAATAGCTAAAGCCACCTTGAAAAAGGAGAGGGGTGAAGCTAGAAGACTCACTTCTCAGTTTCAAACTTATTACAGAGCTGCAAAAATCTGGAGTGTAGCACAAGGACAGACCAACAGGAAGCAGACAGTCCAGAAATAGAACTTTTTTTCTTTTTTTTTCTTTTTTTTTATGTTTTAGCAATAGGGTGGGTGTACTCACCAGCAAGAGAAAGAGGGAGACATTGAAAGGGAGAGGGAGAAATCATCCCCCAGGGGGAATGGTCATGCCACAATCCTGTCTCCTCCATTCTCCTTTCAGGATTTTTGGGCACTCACGCACACATGCCCAACGTGATTTTCAAGCCATAGGTCCGGGACTCAAACCACGGTTGGCTATGTGGGAGTCCAGCATGTTAACCCCCACACCACCTGCTGGCCCCATAAACCTGTATTTTTAAGGTCAATTGATTTTTTTTTTTTTTTTTGGAGAGGTTTTTGCTATAGGGTGCGTGCACTCGCCAGACAGACAGAGACAGAGAGACAGAAAGTGAGAAATCACCCCCCGGGGGGATGGCCACACCGCAATCCCTTCTCCTCCATTCTCCTCTTGGGATCTTGGGTATGCATGCACACGCGCCTGGTGTGAGTTAAGCCACCGGGTCAGGGACTCGAACTGTGGTTGACTACGTGGGAGTCCAATGACATAGTCACTATGCTAACTGCTGGTCCCAAGGTCAATTGATTTTTGACAAGGGTACCAAAATCATTCAGTGGGAGAAAGAATGGTCTCTTCAACGAATGGTACTGAGACAACTGGATACCTACTAGTGAGATGGAGTTGAACCCCTGTGGAATACCATACACAAAAATTAACTCGAAGAGTCAGAGGTGTAAATGTAAGCACTAAAGCCATAAGACTCTTAGAACACAGCTTTCTCTTAGGCAATCATTTCTTAGTTATGCCACCAAAAGTGTAAGCGACCAAAGAAAACAGGTAACTGACGGTCTGTCGAAATTAAAATATTCAGTGCTGCAGAGGACACCATCAAGAAAGTGAGAGGCAACGCAGGTCGTGGAAGAGTATACGTGTGGATTGTGTCTGTGACATGAAACTGGTAACTGGAATATGTTAATATCTTCAAAGAACTCTTACAGCTCATTATAAAAAGATAAATAATTTAAAAATGGGCAAAGCATCTGAAAAGACCTTTCTCCAAAGAAGACACATATATGTCCAATTAGCGCACAAAAAGACCTTCGACATCATTACTTAGGAAAATGCAAATCACCCAGTGAGTTATTACTTCGCACCCATTAGAATGACTATTACCAAAGAGCCAAGGCCCAGCTGAGTGGCGTGCAGACAGCGCCGCTGTGGGGAGGCAGAAGCTGCCCGGGAGGCCTGAGTGCAGCACTCGTGCCAACTGGAACACGTCAGGTGTGGCTGCAGGCATCTGCTATACCAGCTTCATGGAAGGCTGAGCCGGAAGGATCACGATACAGTGATTCTGACAAGGTCAAAAATGCCTATCCCTGTCTCCCTTTCTCTCTCTCTCTCTCAAAGAAAGAAAGAAAAAGACAGGTAACCAGTATTGGCAAGGAGGTGGAGAAACCAGAACCCTCACACTGCTAGTAGAAATGTAAATGCTACAGTCACTGTAAAACAGCCGGGCAGTTCCTCCGCAGGGCAAATGAGAGCTGCCATAGGACCCAGCCATTCCGCTCCCAGGTATGTGCCCAAGAGGACTGTAAACACACCCCAAACTGCGTGTGTTTTACGGCAGCGTTGTTCATAGATGTCAAAAAATGGAAACAATCCACATGTCCACCAACAGATATACTTTTGCAATAAAATGTTTTTCAGCAATAAGCAGGAACGAAATACTGACACACAGTACCACATGGAGGGACGGTGTGAACTCCGCGCTGAGTGAAAGACACCCGTCACAGGATGAACTGTCCCACAGAGGGGAATGAACAAGGACAGAAAGCTCAGTCATTGCGTAAAGTCGAGGTGAGGTTGAGGGGAAGAGAGTAACTGCTAGTATGGGCTTTTTAAGGAAGTGATTAAAGTGTTCTAAGATGGCTTGTGGTGATGGTTGCCCAACTTTGTGTTTATACTAAAAACCACTGTATTATACATTTTCTATAGGCGAATTATATGGTCTGTGAATTACATCTCGATAAAGCAGCAATTAACAACATATACCACCTTAGTGTGTGTATCCATGTGGTTCTTTCGGATGAAGAGAATACAGGTGGATTTCAGTTTTTCTTTTGCTTCTGTTTTCTCTCCAGAGGCCATACAAATGCTGGTTTGTACTATGACCACTATGCCACTTACATTCCTCCGAGGACTTACCCTACCGTAGTTCTTCAGGGCCAGGTGGGCTTTTCCCATGTGGAAATACGCTTTTGTGTATTTTTCATCACACTGCATGAAAGAGAACAACGGATCAGATGTTTAGAAAGATCTGAAGGCAGTAGCCACTCCCCCTAGTGCAGTTAAGGCAGAGCTTCGGCTCTCTGGATAGCTACTGAGGTTGACAATAAAACACTTCCGTGCATCTGTGACCACACTAATTAATGCACAAGTCAGCTCTCTATCAAAGTAATGAATGATACTTGCCCGCTTTCATTTTCATTTAATGAGACATGATTCGGAAGCAACCAGACATCCCAAGTTTAGAAGAGCCCTTACTGGCTGCACGTTAGAATCACCTGGGATGTTTATGAGCCTCCTGAGGGCCACGCTGTACCCCATATCAAGTACACAATACTCCGAGGCAGGGCCCAGGCACTGATCACTGTTTAAGCCATCAACGTGATGCGCGCATGCAGCCAAGTTTCAGAACCACTGGTTTATGAGAAGAGAGGAAAATTTATGTTGAGACAATGGCTGAGGTTACCATTACATCTGAGTGGGCCTGGGAAGTTCCTCTCCTCAAACAGCCACACTACGTATGTGGAAAGTTACATTCACGTCACTTAGGACTGGGAGGAACGCACCCTCAGAGGGCAGGATAGAAACTGCGGCTGCAAACACACCATTTACTCGGGGGTCCTGCATCTGCCTCCTCTAATTATTAGGTCATTGGGAGAGTCATTATTATTTTTCTAGTTTTTTAAAAAAGAATTATTTATTTAATTCCATTCATTATTATTATTTTTAAAAATTTGACAAGAGGAATACAAAGAGAGAGATAGAGAAAGGAAAAATGACAAAGCAAGCCACCAGGTCCAGGATTCAAACCGCGGTCAGCTGAGTGGGAGTCCAGCACCCTTAACCACCATGCCACCTGCCAGCCCCTATTTTTCTGTGTAAAAATGAGTCATAATTTTTCCAATGACTTAATATTACAATGCCGCAGGGAACGCTCTGGCACAAGACATAAATTAAAATATAAACATCCAGGCTATTAATATCAATTGAGCCTCGCTTTATGTGTAAGGCACGGTGCCAGGTCAAACCCCTTCAAGGGTTTATATTCAGAGAGGTTAAGAGTCCAAGCTCAGGAGTCTAAAATGCGCTGGCTGAATCCTTGTTCTGCCACTCCCCAGATGGCCAGGCCACCTAACTTTTCTGACACTCCTTTTCCTGGACAGCGAAGACAGCAACAGTATCTCCCGGGCTGCTGTGAGGAGGAAATCCAAGTACCCAGCACAGGGCCGGGCAGTGCGTTACTAGCTGCTGTTGCAGTTACAGCAGGAAGCCATTCCAGAGCCAGAGAGAAGACGTAAACAATAGCTGAGTAATGATAAAACGGTTAGGATGCCTTCGGAGATGCAGACTCACTGTCGGGGAGCAGCAGGGACCCCAGCAGTGACACCGAGGGGCAGGACTGTTTGGTCCTTCCTACATGATCCGCGTGGAGCTTGACGGTTCAAATGAACGGTCTCATACTGGCTTTGTAACAACGATGAAGTGGGTGTGATCAAAATCCCCATCTTTTAATTTTATTTATTTATTTATTTCTAGAGGTTTTTGCCTTTTAGGGAGTGTGTACTCGTTAGAGAGAGAGACAGAGACAGTGAGAGAAAACGTGAGAAGTCACCCCCCCCAAGGAAGATGGCCATGCCACAATCTAACTTTACTTATTATTATCATTATTATTTTCCAATTTGATCAGAGACAGACAGAGAGAGAGAGAGGAAGTGAGAAAGCAAGCCACCAGGTCCGAGAATTGAACTGCGGTTGGCCATGGCCATGCCACAATCTCATCTCCTCCATTTTCCTCCTGAGATCTTGGAGGAAACCCCCACACACGCACCTGGCTTGAGTTTCAAGCCACCGGGTTCAGGACTCAAACCGTAGCCAACCATGCGGAAGTCCAGTGACATAACTGTTACACCATCTGCTGGCCCTAAAATCCCCATTCTGTGGGTGAGGAAACTAAGTGCTGGAGAGCCCCAAGGCCACACAGACAGGAAGTGGAAGAGCTGGAATTTGCAATCTGGCCACTGAACTACAGGATCCAAGGGCTTAAAAATCACACCAAATCTCCTTCGGAAAAGCACTATAGGCCCAAAGCACATAGATGCTGCAAAAAATGCAACAGAAAAGCACAGCAGGTGGGAATGCATGCTAAGAGGTTCCCCTAAGAGGCATACACAGGAGGAGGCACCTGGGTCGGACCTGGATCTTGCATGACATGGATGGGCGACAAGCAGAGAACAGAGGGAGAAAGGGCCAAGCAAGTTCCAGACCTGGGAGAGTGCAGGGGGCTCCTGGGGACAGGGTGACTGGGTAGCGGGAGATGTAGCCTCCACGTGGAGGCCTTTAGTGCCAGGCCAGAGGAGGGTGAGCTGTCAGTGGCCATGTGCAGGCAGCCTGCAGACTGATCGAGACGGGAAAGGCAGGGGGACGAGTGAGGAGGCCACTTAGAACGAGGGCTGCGGACTGAAGTCCTGGTGGCAGTGGCGTGAAAGGAAGTGCAGGAACCAGAGCTATGTCAAAGAAAGGACTGACCAGCATTCGCCTAGCTGGAAATAAGAAGAGCGAAGGACGGGACATCGAAACCTGGTCTGGAAGCCGGAAGATTCAGGGTGTGTTTAACAGGAAGAGATCAACGGAGGCGGGAGCGGGGAGGTGAAGAGTTGGTGAAGAGTTGGCTCCCAGACACCGAGTCCCCGACGCTGTCTGGACAGTCACAAGGAACCTGCAGGAGGCAGCTGAAACACAGCCTCAGAGCCAGGGAAGGGGGAGATCGGTGAGCAGTCTGAGAGCCATTTGCAGAGATGAGAGCTGAGCCTGTGGGAGGAGAGGAGGGCTTTGAGAGACATTGAGAGACACTGTAGAGAACAGAAAGGCAGGGGCCGAGGCGTGAACCCCGGCAGATTCATAAAGGGCGGAACTGAGGAAACAGGAAAGCGATGGTCAGAGGGAAAGGAGGACGCGGCAACACTGCGCTCATGAAAGCCCAGCATGCGTAGGACACTCCCTGGCTGAGCACCGTGGACACAAGCGTGGGGAACTGAGCCCCGGCCTGGAAGCCTTGTCCACAGCCCACTGCGTGTCACTGTGAAGGGGCTGTGGTTGTGACCCTGCCTTCCCCAAATAATGCCCACAGGGCTGCTCCTGGATTTTCTCACCGATAGGTCCATTCTTTGGCCACGTGTCAACCCTCACTAGCATTTCTCAGATGACCCCCAGTCCCCTTGGACGGCCTCCTGCCTTGAGGAAGATGATCTGACTGTGCAGGCAGTGTCCTGGCAGGGCAGAGATGACCCTGACCCTCACTGGAACCAGTGTCGTGGCCCTGCTTTCCTTGACAAGGGCCATTGGTACTGAAATATCATTATGTGGGCCTGTCTCTTCTAATTCTGAAGTTAAAAAATACCAAATTGGTATGAAAGTACTCACATTCCTAACGGGGTAGTGATATTCACGATTTTTTTTTTGGGGGGGGGAGAGATTTT